CAGCGTGCGCCTGGCTCGGGGGGACCTCTGCGCCCTGGCGGAACGCCTGGACATCGTGGCCGGCTGCTGCCTGCTTCCCGACATCCGTGGCGTGACGGGGTCCGAGCCTAAGCAAGACCCGGGACCGCGGGCCTAGCCTTCACCTCACTCCCCACCTGCCTCTTCGTTCTCGGGGAGTCCTTGTGACCTGGCTCTGAACCCTGTATAGCCCCTCTCCCATCTTGCTGTCACCCTCAGGGCGGACCCCACCCCTTGGATAAAGGGGTGTGTGTGTGGGGGTAATGGTGCTCAGCCCGTCCATCCCCCCCTCCCACCTTCTGGTTCCTCCCCTTGGTCCTGGCCCTTCTCCTTGGTTCCTGGCCTGTATCTGAGGCTTGGCCCCAGTCCCTGGGTAACTGGCCATTCCTTGATCTGTCTCCATCTTGGGGGCTCACCGTACCCCATCTCCTTGCACTTGCCTAAGTTTGGTTTTTGCTCCCAGGGGCTGATGCTGCTTCTTGCCACAGGAGCCCCAGCATCTATTGATGGGGGCTGCCAACCCCCTCCCTCTGTACAGACACCAGACTTGCACTGGTAGCACATCCTGCACGCTCCCAGCTTTCTGGCACAGATTTCTTTACCTCCTTGGCTCCACCTCTATGCCTGGGACACTAAAGGAATTTTGACCTCCTGGGCTGGACCTTTTTTCCTCTCCCCAGGGCTGGCCCTGGTTCCATCTCCTAGTTTTAGCCCTTGCTCTGCCATCTCTTGGCTGCTTCACCTGGGCTTAGCTCCTCCCCTTAGGCCTGATCTGGTCTCCTGGGTCCAGTTCTACCCTTAGTGTTGGTTTTGCTTTTTTGCTTTTCCCATCCTGTTTATACTGCCTGCCTGATCCTGGGCTCTGGAAACCCCCTATTTCTGTCATCAGGCCCTAGATGGGTCCCCCTCGTGACCCAAGGGGTCCTCCTCCCCACTCCAGGCTCAAGATGCACTTTGCCTGAGCTCCAGATACAAAATGGGCCTCCTTCTGACTCTCTGGGTGGAGAGTGGCACCCTTCAGGATTGAACTTTGAGTTCAATAAAGACTGCCTGGTACTTTGGGTGCAATACGATACCACTTTGCAGATAAGGACCACAAGCATGGTGTCTGTTTACTGTTGACCCCTGGATGCTAAGAAGACTTGGATTTCTGTTCCTTCTTCTGGCCCAGCCCCAGTCCCTCAGTCCCATTCACATTTATTACCCCTCCCCACTTTTTTATCCCAACCTAAAGTTGAGATCTGAGTCCCCAGGATGGAGATGTGCTGGAGAGCGCTCTATGGCAAACTCATTAAAAGACAAAACATTTACTGAAATGATCAGTTCCTCTTGTCTCCCCACCTGTGCTGGGGGTGGGTTAGTTAGTGATTTCTCTGAGAATGGGGTCCTTCCTGCCTGGCCTACTGAAGGTGAAACTGCAGCTGGAAATGGAAACTGCAGCCTGGTTCTACATATTTTGTTAACATACATTTACTGAGCACCTGTTCTGTATCTGTCCTGTGCTGGACACGGGATGCAACAACAAGTATGGCCCCTTGCCGAGCTCACAGCCCACTGGGAGAGACAGATGTTAATAAAATATTCTCATAACCTAATGGATAGTTTTAATAATTATGATTTATAGTTTAGTTTTGACTTTTCTGGCACCGTGATTAGTGTCATAAAGAGGTACAGGAGTTTTGGGAGAGTGTAACAGATCTTGCTGACCTTGTCTGGGGAGACAGACCGGGGAGGTCAGGTGGCTTTGCTGAGGAAGCAATGAGTGAGTCTGAGCTGAACCCTGAAAGTATAAATAGGTGGAACTGGATTCGGGTGGAGAAGAGTTGGCAGGCAGGAGGAGTAGTATATGCAAAAGCCCTGAATCAGAAGGGAGCATAACCTATTTAAGTAACAGAAGGTGGTGACCAAGGACGAGGAAATGGGCTCTGAGTAGTATGTGGGAGGAGGGCATATAAACATTTAGCAAGGGCAGCAAAAATAGGAATCAGCTGGTGGCAATGGCCAGCTGCCCCTGGAGATTTACAGAGCTGCTTTTTGGGAGGCAGCTGTGCTCACCACTGTATTACCAACATTTATTTTGGGGAGAGGGAGAGACGGAATTGACTCAAGGTATTTTGAGGTGAATTTTTGACTGTCCTGAGATATGCCCCAAGTGAGTGACAGTTGTTTGCACCCATTTAGATCTGGAGACTTTATGGCCTCCAGCTAGTGCCTTGAGAATGAACGAGTCTATAAGATCACCCTGTTACTGGGAAATTTCAGTAGGGCTCAGGCTGCCTGTCGCTGTATCCAGTTCAACAGAGGCGGGGTTGAATCATATAAGGCATTTATTGGGAAGGCCGCCAACCAAGAAGACAGGGAGCCTAGGAGCATCCAAAACACGTCTTAAGGAGTGGCCTGAGAGATAAAGTTATTCGGAGCAAGCTGAGGCTGGGAATGGAATGCAGCTATGTGCAGCCATGGAAGTCATTCTTTTGATCTTGGTCACCTGGGGATGTCTTGACTCACTGTTAGGCCTGCCGGGCCATGCATCAGTCTTGATAAGACAGTATCTTAAGCCATTGTTCACAGCTGCGCCACCTCCTTAACTGCTTCAGCCCAGGATCACGGGGACTGTAGGGTGCAAAGGCCTAGGAGAAAGAAGCCTAAGGAAAAAAAACCTTAAATCCCTGCTTACATAAGTATATGTGCTCTACAATTTTATAAGTAATATCATTATATTTCAGATTAACCCAGGTGCTCAATCTTTGGAAATTATAAGTGCCCTCTGATTAGGTAAATTAGTTGATATCTATCAACCTTATACTCTGCTAAATCTTAGTCTTAAATCTGTCCTATTGCTGTAGTGCTAAAATCTTTGCTTCTGCCACACAGCGCCTGTCCGTCTTGGGGCAGACAAACCGGCAGGTGCTGGAAAAGAGAGGCAGACATTGTTGACACCACCACGAAATCAGACAAATGACTCTGAAAAGTAAAAAGACCAGGCAGGCTGCCTTTATCCCAGCCCAGCTGGGCAGCCAGGAGGGCGGGC